GACGGGGGGGTGTTGTCGTAATAAATGCTGTGATGGGATGCATTAATGGTGATGTGTTGTGATAATAACTCTGCAGATCTTTGTCTGCTGATGTGGCCCGTGTCCCACCTGCCATGTGCCCAAATGCCATTGGCCCTCCATGTCTAGATGGCCTCCAGCTGTCCTGGGCTTTGCCAACCGGGTTATGCCATTGGTCCCAAGCGATGGGTTTGGGGTGATTTACTGTGGGCCGTATGCCTTGTGGGCCTATCCATGTCAGTAGTCCCACAGATACGTCACTCTATTTAAAATATCCGTGCTTTATAGGGACCACTGGCTCTCCAGAGAGAGAGAGAGAGAGAGAGAGAGAGAGAGAGAAAAGAAATGGAGTGCGTAATATCGTTGTATAATACCAAAATTGTCCATCGAAGTGCTAAAGAAATAAAAACATCAAATGTTATTTGACAATCTAACATGTAATAGTTTATTTTCTTTTCTTGTATGTAGTCTATACAATCAAGATAAAAGAAAATTCATTATCTTTTATTTTCTTCCTCTACAGCTTTACCAAACAAGGGATGAGAGAAAACACAATCTTTTATTTCCTCTTGTAACTTAACAAATCATTTCTTTTAAGTGATGTGCATTTTTAGTAAGATTGGCTTCTTTGGTTTGTTTCTTAATTTACTAGCATTGAAAGATGGCAGTAGTAAGTATGCTTGCTTTTAATAGCTGTAGTAAGTAATCTGATTTCAGTCTTGGCATAAAGATGCTTGTGAGACCCTGAAAGATTAGAAATTCATTACTGTTGGTCTTAATGATTATCATAGTCTTGGTAATAAGTGTTTTGACTTCACTACTCTATCTTGTTGCAGAACTTTTGTGATGCCTTCTAGGATGTGTATTAATCCAATACATAATAATAAAGGGCTTTTTCATCAGTCAGACAATGCAAATTCAGAGGAAAGGTAAGCTTCATTTGGCTTCTATTGTAAAGAATCCTTGGTTGGTTACATCACAACAGAGGGAACAAAAGAAGAAGACAATAGTTGAACACTGGCCGTTGTTTTGTTTTCAATGGAATTGTTTGCGTAACACTTGTAAATAATTTCCTTGCATTTCTTTTCCTTTTATTAAAAGCAACAACTTGAGGCTTATGGTTCAATGCATGGTACAAACACTGACACAGGATTGGTGTCTTGCATGCATATTAGGCACTTCCTAGTTTGCTTATGAATAAAATAAACCAGGACATGTGTGCTGCACTCACAAAATAAAATAAAATGAAATAAAAATAGTTGCCTCATTGTATTAGCAGTTGTAACTCTCTCGTGTTAAAAATTGAGTGGTATTTTCAGAGAAATAACTAGAGGTGTTGTCTAATGTATGCTGATATTTGTGTCATTTTATTTATTAGGTGGGCTGCTAGCTCCTGTGCCATGGATTCGTTGTATGATTTGGAGCTCATTTCCAACACTGTTCCTGTAGTTTTTGACAATTCTGAAACATGGCATCTGGCTCTATCAACAAGCTTGAAGTTGGGGAGTAGAGGGATGGCCCATGTACAAAAAATTACTCGTGTTGATCTCAAAGAGAAAAGTCAATATTCAAATATCTTGCTCATTAATCGAACTGCTAGCCCTCTTGCATGGTAAGCTCATTATTGCCATATAATATTTATTTTGCTTTGCTTAGTTCCACAACACCCCCATCCCCACAAAACTGGTGAAGGACAAATTGAAGAAATGTTTGCTCCATTGATTGTTCAAAGTCTCTGTAGTAGTTACCCTGTATTCTCACATTATAAGGGTTTGGAGGAGACCAGCCTAACTTCTTTATATATTAGTTATTGACTGAAAAATGATCAAGGCTGTGATAGGGTCTTACTCATTTACATAATTAAATTTTAAAAACCAATTTTAATTGAAATGAACAACAAAACCATTTTGAATTAGTTCAGATTTCATAAGTAGTAATTATATTGTTTATGTCATATGCCATGCAATATTATTGTTCAAATCTTTGAAAAAATCACACCTGTGTTGGTAGAGTTTTTCATGTTTTAATCATGATTATATTATTAATCTTGATAATTATTCAGGTTTATGGAGTGCAAAGATCGAAAAAACCACACTGCTACAATGTTGCCATATTCATTTCTTCCTTCAATGGCTGCCCAGAAACTACGACATGCAGCAGAAAAGGTTTACCATGTACAATCTTTTTAAGTTATGATTATCTACTCAGTTCAGGTGAAATAGCACATGATTTACCATGTATTGGCTATTTGCACTGTCTGCTAACAAATACTTGGTCCAGTTATCTTGTTAATATCTTTTGACTGCACATAAAGTTTCTCTTCAATTAATGCAAGAAAAAAGTAAACTCAAGGAAGCAGTAAAATTCTGATATTGGCATAATTTCATGGTGGGCCCTATTAGAACTATGCATAATCATTGTATTATTCTTGGTAGAGTCTTATATTATGATTATTTAGGTTAGGCATTGATCTGGTTTGTTTCATATTATCTAGTAGTGTTCTATAGGTCATCAGTATATTGCTAATTTCAGAAATTTCTGAAAATGGGTTGTAGTTGCTGCCTGTGGGTTATAATTTGGGTCAAGTTTTATATGGGTTGTTAAGTATGATTTTAGGTAAGTTTTGAATGAGTTTTAAATGCCAAAGTCTTTATTTTTTAAATTTTGGAGTCAGTCCTTTTGGAATTATGAGTTCTGTATAAAGGTATGTACTTCTTATTCAACAATGATGAGTTTAGAATTTTTTTTGAGAGCTTTTGAAGCTTGTTTGGGATGGTCTGTGCGATGCCTGCCTGCAGGAATCCATGTGTGTTGCCTACTCTAGTTGTCATCTTCATCATCATAATCATAATCATCATCATCATGATGCACTTTAACCGTTAAAACACGCTGAACCAGATCTGTTTCATCTTCCTTTTCCTACCATTAATTTTGTTTACAACACTAACATTTTTTCTTCAATTCTTCAACCCTAGCTTGCTTTAAGTACTTGGATTATTATTTTGTTAGTGGATTATACCAGTGGACTTGGTGGACAATTTCATATGATAAGAATTATTTATTTTTATGAATTTTGGCATTATGATAATTAAAGATTTAATTTGAGTATTTTGCATTGTTGGTTTATGTGGTTGGACTTTTAGTCTTGTATGCTCATTTAAATGAGTGTGCGACGTTGTCATGGAGCTTGAGGCGTGACAGTTAGGAAATGGAGACTGTTGGTTTATCAGGTGGTATGGACCTAATAGCCGTAATCAGAGCCTCAGGAAGAATTAGTCATGCACGGGGTCTCAATGTTCCTAGTTCGGGTATTGTTGGTGAGCAATTCATTGAGAAGATTCGTAGGGTAAGAGGTATGATTTAGATATTGGATCTGCATTTTTTTTGATTAATCTGTTTGAGGGAAATCTCGTTTCTTGCTATTTTAATATTTTAAAAAGACATCCTTTAGAAACAACCAAAAGAAAAAATGGAAAAAAGGGGCATGTAAAATTGATGGCATAGTTAATAGTTCATGTTGACCCTTCTGTTTCCCTTTTTTTATTTTTTATTTTTGCTTTTACTTTCCTTTACAAATTGTAAAGTTTACTCATGATGCAAACTGTAAGATCATCTATAAATAGTAAAATTAAAGCAGCGAGAATGTTTGGAAATTGGTTGGTTTCAAGATGGACACACTTGGAACTTTTCTTAATCACATTTTGGTATTGGTTGTCACTGTTTATGCTTATTTTTAAGTTAGTATGGATATAATTAGCTTTCGATATGAAAAATCAAGTATTATAGGTTAAGAGTATTTTGATTATTTCAAAATTTTCTTGACATGGAAGGTAAGGGCATCCATGGGTCATACATAGGTGAAGTTGTGTATTGGGTCATTCTATATTCTTTCTATCTGTTTTAGATGAGTTTTAAAAGTCAAAATTCTAGTCAAATTGAAAATATGTTTCAATTTATTGATGGATGATTTAGAAATGCTTCAGAAACCACAACAATAAACTGTAATGACAAATTAGTGTTGGTAATGAGGAAGACATGGTGGACTAAGGAAGGTGTGAAAAAATGTACGGTAGCATGGTGTTTTGTAGAGCAAGTATAGAGTGGATGAAAGGATAGGCCATCATGTCACTGGCGCATCAAATGCAGTAAACTGTTTTGAAGACCTTGAGACGTACTAAATGGGACAGGGGGTTGGTTTGCTCTGATGAATAAGGAGAAAGAAATACAAAGTGAGTTGTTTCAAATCTTAAACATGAATAAACTTGAATTTAAAAGATAAATTGTAGTTACAAAAATGGCTGCTCTGATGCTGGATCCTAGTCATATTAGATCTCAAAGAATGATACTCTAATTATCCATGGCCCCAAGGGAGCTGTGGGAAGAAAAATAACCCTCTTTTAACTGAGTACATTTAAATGAAGAAGTCGTAAGGACATGTTACACTGCAGGTGAAGTGGGCCAACATATGATGTACCAGGCTCATTAATCAAGCCTGCTACACTTGCAGGCTCTAAAAACTGCACTTATTTTAGTCTGGAAGATAAGATTGGTTCTTAGCCTATAGTGCAGCTAGCTGCACAGCTCAATAAGAATTGCCAAACTGCTATATGAAGCCCATCAAAAGCTGATTTGTGAGACATCAAAACTCATGTAGTGGCGACTGTCTGCACACCCTCAACCTCAAGAGTGCTGCCTTGAGCCTTCATTGATCTCCAAACTCACCTCACTATCCTCTCATTCCTGGCCTTCTTCAGTATCCTGAACTTGGTAGATTTCAAATATAAGAGCTTGAATAAGTTTGGTATTGTTAGAAATGGGAAAAAAAACTATATGTTTTTTAGTAAACAGATATAACATCCATTTTTACTTCGTAGACTATGCTTTAGTAATTTGTAGATTTTCATTTTTCAATTTTTTTACGACTTTAAATGTGTAGTATGATAGGGGTAATTCATGTATTTGTTGTTGGTTCTCAGGGTTGGAGGCTTCCAGATATGATGTTTGCAACCAAGTGTAGTTTATCTGATGCATGCAACACTATAGCCAAACAACTTGAGAATGTTTACTCATCAATTGCGGCAAGTTTTTCTTCTTACTTCTTTTACTACATATGTTTGATATTCATGAACCAGATCTGTTTCATCTTCCTTTTCCTACCATTAATTTTGTTTACAACACTAACATTTTTTCTTCAATTCTTCAACCCTAGCTTGCTTTAAGTACTTGGATTATTATTTTGTTAGTGGATTATACCAGTGGACTTGGTGGACAATTTCATATGATAAGAATTATTTATTTTTATGAATTTTGGCATTATGATAATTAAAGATTTAATTTGAGTATTTTGCATTGTTGGTTTATGACATATTCCTTTTAGTCTTGTATGCTCATTTAAATGAGTGTGCGACGTTGTCATGGAGCTTGAGGCGTGACAGTTAGGAAATGGAGACTGTTGGTTTATCAGGTGGTATGGACCTAATAGCCGTAATCAGAGCCTCAGGAAGAATTAGTCATGCACGGGGTCTCAATGTTCCTAGTTCGGGTATTGTTGGTGAGCAATTCATTGAGAAGATTCGTAGGGTAAGAGGTATGATAAGAGAGATACCTCGGTCGGTAATAAATGATGTGTCCTCCTGGTCAGATGTGTGCATTAGGATTTGGTTGTACCCAGAGAAGGCATCCATGAAGCTGAGCATTTGATGACCGGCGGTGGCGTCGACCAGCAGATCTATGCGAGGAAGGGGGTAGCTGTCTTTGGGACAAGCTCGGTTCAAGTCAGAGTAGTCGACAAGAGCCGCCATTTGCCATTGTGTTTTCGGACGAGGACCACATTGGACAACCACCTAGGATAGTCCACATTTTTATGAATTGGGCTTCGAGGAGTTTGTTAACTTCGGCGGCTATAAGGGTGTTGCGCTCCGGATGGAAAATGCGTTGCTTCTGGCGGTGGGTCGAAAATGGGGTTCGATGCTAAGGCGATGGGTTATGAAGGAGGGGTCGATGCCTGGCATGTCAGAATAGTCCAGGCGAATACATTCTGTGCTCGGTTAAGAGAGCAGTAAGGTCGGCCTTGGCTTGAGCGGGTAATTGACTGCCGATCTTGGCGGTTCTGATTGGGTTGGTGGGATCGATGTTGACTTCAACAAGTTCCTCTACAGGTTCACCTCTGACCAGCTCGTCCTCGTCTCGGACGTCAAGCCCTTCGATGATATGGCCTCTTTTAGCTTGACTTCTTTGAGCGAGGCGAATAAACACTCCTGGCTACGGTTTGTTCGCCTTTGACAGTTCCGACGCTGAGATCGTGGAAAATTTCATGGCCAGATGATATATGGAAGTGATGGCTTGGAAGGCTTTAGGGCTGTGCGGCCAAGGATAATGTTGTAAGCGGAGGGGCAGTCGACCACAAGGAAGGTGACAGCTTAGTGGTCTGCCGCGGGTGCTCGCCGATGTGATAGGCAGATCGATGGAGCGATGGAGGTCACTCGGTCGCCGGTGAAGCCGACCAGAGGGGTTTGGAGAGGGGACAAGCTCTCTTCCCCAATCTTGAGTTGGCGGAAGCAATTGAGGAAGATGATGTCTGAGGAGCTGCCGTTGTCTATGAGGACTCGTCTGACTTTGTAGTTGGAGAGGATGGCGGAATGACAAGGGGGTCATCATGTGGGTAACGGACTCCTGCACAGTCGGTATCGGTGAAGGTGATGGGTTCGATCCATTGTTTTACTGTTTGGGAGGTCGGTCCACGTCCCACTATTTTGTCTGAGCCTTGCCTGATTTTTCTGAGTTCTGCCTTCTGAGCCGACGGGGATGGCCCCCGCAAAGCAAGGCCTCCCGAAATGACTCTGTTTTCTCCGACTGGTGGAGGGGATTGCCCGGAGGCCGAGGCTGTGGTGGGGGGCGATCGTGGCCTTCGTTTGGTGGGGCTTGATTGCGGGGTGGTGTGCGTCGGCGATTATTCCTGGGATGGTCAGTTCTTTGTCTCTGTGGGGGACGGGGGTCTGTGAATCGGCTGAGGCGGCCCTGGCGGATGAAGGTCTCGATCTGGCTTTGAGGTTAATGCACTCGTCAGTGGTATGGCCATGGTCTTGGTGGAAGCGGCAGTATTTGGACTGATCTTTCCGGGTGGAAGGGTTTCGGGACGGTAGGGGCCATTTGAGGGGGTAGTCCCGCTGGATCTGATTGAGGACGTCTCCATGGGGAGTTGAGAGGGGTGTACCGCTCGGAGTCGACCGGTCAGTTCGGGGGGGCGGTCATTATAGTGGGATGTTTGGCTATTATACTGGGCGTTCTGGGCTCGGAGTCTTTCCTCTTTTCTCTAGGAGTCGGATTTTTAGGAGTCGGCTCTTGCCGAGGGCCAGGGAATCTTCAGCATTCATGTATTTCTGGGCTTTGGACAGTAGAGCTGCCATGGTGGTTGGAGGGTTTTTGAAGAGGGAGAAAAGGAAATCAGACGACCGCAGGCCGGCATAAAGGCGGTGAGGATGACCTTGTCGTCATTCTCCGCTACTTGAAGGGCTTCGGTGTTGAAGCGGGTGACAAAGTGCGGAGCGACTCCCCCTCGGTCTGACGAATGTTAAGGAGCTGGGTGGCTGGGCGCCTCTGACGCTGGCTCCAATAAAATGGCTCAGGAAGGAGTCACTGAGGTGTTGAAAAGTGGAGACGGAGTCCGCCGGTAGCTGGCTAAACCACAGCCGAGCTGATCCCTTTAGTGTCACTGGAAAAGCTCGGCACATGATCTCGTCAGGGAAGGCATGGAGGACCTTGAGGGTGCGGTAGGTTTCCAGATGGTCGACTGGGTCCGTCGTGCCACGAAGGAGTCAATGGTAGGCATCTTGAACTTGGCAGGCAATGGTTTGTCGCGGATGGAGGCAACAAAAGGTGAGTTTGGTGGTGGCTGAGGGCTTGTGCTGAATGTTCTGCATGACCCTTGTAGTTGGAGTTTCATAGCTCGGATTTCAGGTCCCAGAGGGGAGTGTTGTCGCCATGGTCGGCCAAATGGAGGCTGGACACTGCTAGCTTCCCCCTCAGGGGTCAGTGCTGCGACTGGCGGGCGTGGAGGTGGAGGTGGTAGGTTTTCATGTTGGGAAGGAAGGAACTGCGAACCTTCTGGGTTAGGCGGAGGGGGCTGTGGGGCAGTATGGCCTGGGGTTGTCCCTTGGTTGGGTGGAATGTTTGGAGGTGGAACGGGGGGTTTCTTTGGAGTAACGCATTGATCAGGGCCTGGTTTTGCTCGGCCATGCGGTTAATGCTGTTGGTGAGCTCGATGATGTACTGTGGTGGGTTGGTTGGGTGGGAGGGATCTGTTTGGTGATCGGCGGCGTTGTTGGTGAGAAGCCATGGACCTAGTCGTGACCATACACCTAGACAGGCAAAAGGGAAAGGTGATGGTGAGAAGGGAGGGCTCCGGCGGTAGTGAACACAACTAGCGCGCGAATAAACCAGTAAATTCCCACAGACGGCGCCAACTGATAAGGTTCTGGTTCCCGGTGGATGGGTCGGACCGGTCCAGGCTCTTCAGACTCCGGCTCAGGGTGATGACCCCGTCAGGCGACCTGCATGCAAGCCCAGAGGGGAACGGGGTAGTCCCCCAGTGAACCCTCCGGTGTGAGAATTAGTAGAGTAGAGTATGAGAAAACTATGTAA